CGATCCGCACCCTTCTCGCCCTACCTGGTGCTCTCAACTCATGTCAAATACGCTCCTTTCGCCACACGTCGACGTCGAGGCTACCTTCGTGACTCGAGTGAGAGAGATCTCAGCGTTCATCTCGATACGGCCCTACGCGGAGTCATCATTGCGGATAGATGGCCAAAAAGTGGCGTCGACGTGATTGTTACCATTATTGAAGGCGACCAAGAGCGAGAGGCGTCTCACTCCCAAGGCAACGAAGAGTGGGATATGATGAACGTTCTCAGTGGTTGCATCACCGTTGCCGCGGCGGCTCTCGCTGACGCTGGTATCGATTGCGTCGACATGGTCACCGGCGGTGTTGCAGCTCTTGTCTCTTCAAACGAACAAGACACTACAGACGCAGACGCACTGTCTATTGTCTTGGATCCCGTTTCTCTGGAGCATGACAAAATACTTGCCGCTTGCTGTGTGGCTTACCTCCCTTGTCGTGCGGAGATCACCAACCTCTGGGTGAAGGGTCAGCTCTCGCCGTTGGACCCCTTGCTCCATACGAAACTCATGGGTCGCGCTATTCAAGCTTCCAAGGGCAACTACCGCGCCGTTCTCGAGAGACTCGAAAGCAACCAACCACCCAGCAGTTAATCGATTAGACCATGGCAAATTACCTAGTGGAGGTATGCAGCCCGGGTTCGAGAACACGGCGTTGATTTGTCGCGCCTTCGAAAAGAAGCCACAACTGAGCATGGCTTCATGGTGACTCTGAGCGTCGAAAACTGAAGCATGCGTTGTCATGCATCAGCTCGGCATATTTTATCGGGTGATTCGCACTCGAGTGATCACGAAGGAGGATGAAGATCTTGGCAGACTGGCAGGTGAAAGCAAGATCACCTCGGGGAGCCCATGCAGAATTGTCAGATTAATGACGGTCGCCGAGCCCTCTACACATAGCCATACTCGTGACCGGTGCTCACAATACGGACTACGTCGAGAACAGGCATTGCGGCCAAATCGACAAAAGATACCAGCTCCATGTATGAAGAAACATTGAGAGCTTGATTCGATAGATGAGGGGTGACAGACATGCTTAGCAAGAACTGGTGAAGTCTGTTCATTCGATGGTAGACTGGGAGGCAATAGAACTTCCCTCATCGCGATATGCCTGCTGAGAAATGAGCAAGTGAGCTGTAAATGCAGTACAGATTATCCCGAAAAGGTTTGCTTATGGCCGTTGCCTGTTCTTGTTCCAGCTCACTTCAAAGTGACCGCCTTGCTTTGTATTGAGACATCTATCTGCCTGGCAAGGAAAGGACATCAAAGCGGTACTCCCTAGAAGTTTACTCCGTATAGACCTTCCAGGTTGTTGATGATACCTTCAAGGTTGAGCATGGATGCTTGTCAGGTACCCACTTTACCCCAACCTCGGCGGCGCAGTCGTCGCTCTGAGGAAGTCCTTAGCCCGTCTCTCGTAAGCACTCGGGCCCTGGCTTCCAGCTCCTCGGTGCTCTGGGCTCGCTATTGTCCGTCAGAGAACGGCGCTAAGGAGTGGAGAGACCTGGATCGATCAGTGAGCTTCGCGGGCATGCGACAACATCCCTCCATCCCATCCGAGCTTCCGTCCTTATCCATCTCTACACCCCCACCGTCCTTGCCCTCTTGACGAGCCATCTTTGACCGACCTTGGGCCCCGATCGTCCGCGAGATACCATCGACGACCACCTGCCTAGTCGACGACCGTTCCTGACATTGGCCGTCCTCAGCTACCTTATTGGAGACCCGGTCAGCCGAACACCTCCTCGTGCCTGCTGTCCGCATAATGTTCTCCCGCATTCGACGTCACTGCCTATGATCCGAACCGCGACACTCCCAGCCGCTCCGAGCGATAAGGCTGCTGCCGCTGCCTTTGTATAATCTGGCCTGAATACCAATCCTTTCCTGGTGACCATGGACAATCTGCATCCACCTCCTACTCTGGAAAATACAGGGGTGTGGCAGAACCTCTCGCTGTGGACGGCCCACCAGGTTCAATACGCCGTAAACATCACCAAGCTGGCTCCTTCCTTCGAAGACCTGGTATGGGCTGGCCCGAGGATGGTGCGAAAGCTCACGGCCTATCTTCCCATTCCCGACTCCCTCGAGAGAGTCATTCCAGAAGCAACGGGACCCGGCATCTTACGTACTACCGACGCGGCTACGACCGCTGCCTTCGATATGAATATACCTCCTCCCATAGGCCATCTTCCCGGAACTGGGCCTGCTATTCCGGTTGATCCAGATGCTGTCTTGGCCTCTCCAAAGTTCACCATGGAGGGCGCAAGAGGGCTAGGTAGTGTCTTCAGCTATGCGACGAGCAAGTGGGCGCTTTGCTGTATTGCCATGGCAATCGTCCTCAACCGCACGCACATCTTCGCAGCTACTCGGCGACGCTTGCGACTCACTCTGCCAATTCGACTGGCCTTGCGTGGCCTTCCCGTTCTTCTATTTTTGGTACAAGCGCGCGGCCTACTGCGGTCAATCCAGTGCCAAACATCTCCTGACTTTGCCGAAATGCGCTGGGGAAACACAAGCAAGAGCTCCGAGCTCATGTTCTCACAAGCCGGCGGTCTCCTCCATACCATGAGTTCGGCACTGTTGTTGGGGGCTTCAGACGAAGCGTCCTGCATAGCTGTAGGTATGATTCCGACAGATACCAATGACGCGACGCAGGACATGAGGGGATCTCTTTCTCTGTTGTGGCCGCTATTCGGAACGTTTTGTTTGAGTCAATTCCTGGAGACCGTATCGTGTGCTGTGCAGGGCCGACCCTTAGCTGCCGAGACGGGCATGACACTTTTCGAACACTCCCTTGCCTTTGCCGAGGCGGATGCTGCTATTAGCAACCAACTTGGCTGGGGCTTGTTTACCCAATCTCAAGTGGCAGATGCTGCTTCGACGAGCGCCAGCAGCATAGCCATCAGTCGCTCCATGATTCTCAGAAGGGTTAACACCTCACCCGAGGTTCTACTTGTTGCCTTTTTTTCAACCATGAGCCATATTACCAGCCATTTGCTAGGCATCTTCAACCTGCAAGCCAAATTCCGACTCGTCAGCACCGGATTCTGGGGCCTATGCTTCATGGCAAGCATTCTTTGGAGTGCTTTCACGTTCTCCTTGGATGATCCTGCGAAGCAAGGCCTGCTCAGATTTCCGACAGTCTGCATCATCGGCTTCATCCCTCATGTTCTTGTGCTAGGCGGCATTCTGGTCTGTTTCTTCATCTACCTGCTCGCTCTCGGTCTGGCGGCTCTCACGCCAATAGAGGGTCAATCGGGACAGAGGCTGAGCCTTCGCGAGCGGCTGGCGCAAGCCCACGCCAACATGCAAGCCAACCTCTCTCTATCCGACATTCGGATCACTATGGAAATGGACTTTTACACCGCTTTGCTTCGGACCGGTTTTGGGGCTATTACCATGGCAAGCGAAGCCGTCTACCTAAACGAAGACAGAGACGTCACAATGAGACCGCACACGTGGCTTGAGGAAGAGAGGTACCGCGAGCTTGAAGAATTACGAAACCAGTGGATTGGAGCCGGCGCTCCTGACTCTCACTATGATGCTATTGGCACGATTGGTCTAGTGCCGGTCAGGGACGACCACATGTTGTCAAAGAATGGATACGCCCGCGAACGCGCGGCTCAAAAGGTGCCCAAATCACGGTCTGGGGAGCGAAGATTACGGGACGGCGTTGGCGCTGCGGAGCGGAGTGGCCGATGGTTGATGGCATTGGACTTCATCATGAACATCAACAGACTGATCTTCCGGACGTGGGCTACCACTATGCTGAAAATACTTTCCAAGATTGGCTTACGGCACCCGAAACTCCTCCTTTGGATCGTTCGCCGGCCCAAGGCTGCCACCGACTTGAGGAACTCGAATGCCAAGGATAGTGCCGGCCGTTCTCAAGCACCTGCAGGCCCCGCCGAGTCACCCATGAACATTCCACTGACCGACAGCGTTGATGTCGAATCCGAGTTCCGACAGCAAGTATGGAGGGGAAACCAGAACTGGGCTCCCATGGACGAGGCCGACCTCGATTCGAAGCTGTACGGCTGGTGGCTGAAGGGTGGGTGGTGGGGTTCGGCAGATAACAGCGGAGAGTATCAACCGTTGGCAGCAAATGATGATGATGATACGACGAGCGTCGTTTCTTTCAGCACGAACGGCGACAGCGATTGGGAGTCGGAAGACGCTGGGCAGAGAACGCCCACGCAGTCTAGGTCATGGGCTTCGCGCGAGCACACACCGGTCCTGGAGGATTCACTACAGCTGTCAGATCTGGCACGCCTGCTACACCCTAGCAACCCCGAAGAGAGGGAAGAGGCGCATGCGTTGGCCGCGCATTTGAGTAGCGACAGAATCGTGACACGATCTCAGTATCTCAGGTCACGGCAGCTACAGCGAACTCAGATACTGCAGCCAAACGGGCAGCCAAATCGTGTCACGACGCGGCCGGTCAAGATGACACCAGACGAGGAGGTTCAACGCTTGGAGCAGCTGCTGCTGTCCCGGCGCTCCCAGTTCTCGACTTCCGTGGATCGCGGGACATCGACATGGGCAGAAGGGGCGGCTGGTCTGGGTCCGGATGGTCCGCAGTGTGTTGTCTGCCAGAGTTCTCCCCGGACCATCATAGTCTGGCCCTGCCGGTGCTTGAGTCTTTGCGACGACTGCCGAGTGTCACTTGCTATGAACAACTTTGACAAATGTGTGTGCTGTCGTCGGGAGGTCATCAGCTTCAGCAGAATCTACGTGCCCTAGGGTTAAGTTGATAATGGCAGGGCGTCTACGAAGAAGCACGTTTGTACTTGCTAAAATGGGATATCAGAACATTGGGAAATTTTCGGCGTTTGGGGGCGGTTTGTAGCATAGTCATTTCATTGAGGTACACGGAATAGGGGTATCTTGTTGGTATTACATAGGTTAGTTATCTAGGCTTAGCGCTGAGCGTCACGTTCATTCAGGCGTGTGGCCCAAATTCCAGCTCACATTCCTGCCCATTCAACGCAAAATGCGCGCACATGCTTCGTACCACCGTTGACGTCGGGAACCTCTCCGCCAAACAAAAAGCCCTTCTTCACTGAAGTTCCCAGACGGCCACTGCCGACGATGTCAAGCATCGGTATCTTCTCATCCCAATCGTAGTTTGTAGCGAGGAAATGGGCGTGATACCGCAATGGATCACCCGGGTATACACTGTAATCAGCGCCAAAACGTAGACCAGGAGTCATGAAGTATCCTCTAGACTGCAAGTGTTGGTGCAACGGCCCGGCGAGAGGTTGAGGCACTGTTTCCTCAACTTCGCCTAAAGGCACGAGGAGACCTTCGCTGGTTGTCGGCGTGACTGCCACGGACGGCTTGGCATCCACGCCATCACGGGGTTTGGAGCTCTTGTCTGGAACGGCACTTCCAAACAGAGAATCATCCACCTCGGAACCAGGTTTTGGCTGGGCCGCGGCCGACTTGGCGCCCTTGTTCCTCCGCGTCTGTTCCGTAGCTGCCTTCTTGGCCTGATCCTCTGCCAGCAGCTTCTGCGCCTTGCTTCGACGTTCTTTCAGTAGTGCAATGTAGGCCTGGCGGGTGGCCTTGTCCGGAGAGCGTAGGGACGACAGGTGATGCGAAGCCTCTTCGACGAGGCGGCCTACCTTGTTCTCGATGAGCACGCTGGCCTCCTCGGGTAGCAACTCCAGCGGCAGACTGAGAAACACGTTTTGTGTTGGGTTCTGCGGGGTCGTTCCCACCAGAACGGAGCAGATGTTGTGGCTGCGCCTAATTGTGGCCACATCTTCAGCGTCGAAGACGAGGTAGCGATCTGCGATCTTGGAGATGCGCACGGGAGGGACCGAAGGGTCTTCCAATGCTGCTGCCATTGTTCTTGCCTCGGACCTTTTTGGGTCGACCTTGCTGTCCTTATGTCTGAGAGAAGAATGTTAGCTACTGCTGGAAGAGCTTGCATGCAAAAAGCTAGTAACAGTGCTGAAAGCCACATAATCATATCTCGTTAAAATGATAGTTTCGTCACAGAGTGTCAGTGGATTGACAGATTGATTGAGATTGGGTTGTTTAATCATTGAGCTTTGGGAGGTGTTGAAAAATGGTAGGAAATTCATAAGACTTACCCTGATGCGTGGTTGTCGGAGGCAAGAAGGAAGCATGGTTGGAAAAATTCGTAGGATTGAGGTTTATGGAGCTGGCAGTGGTGGAGACGGGCGGTGAGGCAGAACCCCTCTGACTCTTACGGTGGTGCTGGAGGTGTTTTGTATGCTCCGTAAGATAGCGTGGCGCTGTGGCTGTGTGTTTGTACTCTTCAACGTTGAGAAGGCTAGGATTTATACCTGCCTTTCGACTTGCAAGTTACCGTTTCGCAATTCAAACAATTTGACTGTTGACTAGATACCTCTGCCATATAATCCCACTGTTTCGACACTTTGATCCAGAGAGAAACTACGAGTTCGAGGATCAAGCCCTTGAGGTACGGGTAGGGCGAACCTTCGTAGTATATCAGGACATTCACTGATAGCCTTGGGCACGCTGGATCATGGGTAGGTTGAAACGGCCTCATATTATTATAGGCTCAACTCAATCAGTCATTCATTCCATCTAATACTCAAAAGTCTAGCTTCTCCCCCTTCTTCCCCTCTGCCTTGGCTCCTTGGCCCCCATCCCCTTCATCCAACAAAGGCGGGAGAACGTAAGGCTTCACAATGAGCCCACTTGAGCTGCTCATTCTGAAGGAAAGGTCTTCCCGCGAAGACTGGCCCTCTATACCTCCTCCCCTCTCGTGGTAAACAGGGAGGCTATGCACCTTGAGCATACCTTGCACGACGTCTTCGGACTTGGTATTGGGCTCGATGTGCACTTTTCTCGGGAGGGGCAGCATTTCCAGCACTCCATCGCACAAAAGCTCCATCCATCGTGTAAATCCCGTCGATCGCGGGAATAACGAGGTAGACAGCGAGATCATAGCCGTCAGAATCCCTTCGTGCTGGCGCAGCAGTGCTCTCAGTTTGTGCAAGAATTGCAGGGCATCCGCCGGACGGCAGAGTGAGGAACCATAGAGTGCGGGCGACAGAAGGCTCGGCACTACGATACGATGGATAGCACCGGGCGGTGATGCCTTCAGCTTTGCTGAGACGTTGCTGATAAATGTGTCTAGAGGGGAAGAGCTGCCTGAACCCGATGGGTGGAGCCAGCTCATGGCAGCAGTCGATGGGGTCGCATGCAGTTCGCCCTTGATGTCACCAGGCTGTAGACGTTTCCCGAGGTCAAAAGAGTGACAGAAAACTTCGGCAGCCCCTGCTAGGCCGTTGTTGTTCGTCCCTAGAAGATTATTCATCTTAGGTCAGTGTCCGTGGCCATTCCATGTTCCATGTGGTTCGGGAGAAACGTACTTGGTCCGGCATTGTTGCCAAGGCTCTCATATCTCCACGCTATTTTCATCTTCTCGTCTGATGCTGACGCCGATTTCTTCTTACTTGAGCCACTGGCTTTGCCAAGTCCTGGAAGCTCTCCTCTCCACGCGTCCGTTGGGCCAAGCACGTGTACTTGTTGGCCCTGCACGAGACCTTCGGCGGCATAGTATCTGAGAAGTACACCCGAGAAGTCTGTCGTTCCAGACTCCTCTACAAGAATACTGTAGCCAAGCGGTAGCCCTGCGTGTCCTGCCAGGAGTTGGTCTAGTGATGCCGTTCCGGTGGAGGTTGTAGGACGGCCGTCAAGGGGTGATGAACGAGTCCCAGCCGGTGGTAGAGCTTCCTGCTTCGGAGCCATGGACTCTCTCACAGGACCTCTGGTGGATGGCCCCAGGACGACGTTCTTTTTCCTGAACGACATGGTGCCAGGTGTGCTTGAGACACTGAGTTACAAGTTCGCGACTAATACTGCTCGAAAATATGCAGTACCGGGCAGATTCTTGACTTGGAAGCAGCTGGGTTGTGGCACCTACCGTTGTGTTAGAAAAATGTTGCCCAAATAAATTACATAAAATTCTCATGAAAGTGGAAGTGATTCCGATTTTGACTCACTGGCAGTGTGTATAAGACAACAATCCAGAGGCCGCTTCTGATACTGCACTACTGGGATAAATTACTCACCAGTACTTCAGCGAAAATGAAACTATATGCACTCAGATACCTGACCTGGATATAGTTGAGAGCGCCGTGGAAGTGCTGGTACGTGAAGAAAGTAACCAGTAGCTTAATTACATCAGATACAGGTTCAGTCCCCTCCACTGAAGAGGGCAGGTGGGGGTTGGTTGTTGCATTCACTTAGGTACCTTACCTTACAAAAATTTAAGCCCCACTGGTCGCAGTCAGGTACCTAATTATGCTTCCCAACCCGACGCGCCCCTCGTCCGATTGCACACTACACCGGTTAACTCAATCACTCTTCGATTTTTATTTTTTTTACCTTTCCGGCCGGAGCTTCACACACCACATCTCGAAAGCCACTTGCCGTCGCTCACGATCCTCAAGCCTTTGCGCCTCCGAACGAAAGACCTGGTTATCTTCCTCGCAACAACCGACGACAATACCGCGAATTACTCGTACCATTCACCTCGGAGAAGCACACCAAATTATACAGCAATTATGTCTGGCAGCGGCGATGTTACCCTCTTCGAGGAGTCCTTCACGGTCACCAACTACGACCAGTCCAAGTACGACAGAGTCGCCCGTATCTCGGCCACCTCGACCGACAACCAGACGCTCATGACCCTCGACATCAACATTGAGCTATTCTCTGCCTCCGTTTCCGACAGCCTGCACGTGGTTCTCGCGACTTCTCTGGCCCACGATGGCAGCAAGGACGACGAGAAGGGATGGCGGGACGTGACCAAGGGCACCCAGGACCGTGAGCCGTCATTGGCTGATATGTTCGATTACGTCTGCTACGGCAAGATCTACAAATTCGAGGACGCCGACGATGGTCAAACCATGTTCGTGTTCCCGCATTGAATCGAGTGCGCCGCGCAGAAGCTGACCGTGCTGCAATTATAGCAAGGCCTACGTCTCATTCGGAGGCCTGTTGATGTCCCTCGAAGGCCCCTACAAGAAGCTGACCCCGCTGAGAGTCGACTACGTCTACCTGCTTATCAAGAAATGATTGAAAAGATACTGGAACTTTTCGCAATGGGATTTCCAACGCTTACTCTCTCTATTCTGGCGCGCATAAAAGTGAGGTACTACAAAAGGCTGTACAGAAGTTGTATGGCCCTATACAGCCAGAGCATGGGCACCGGAGTTAAAGGCGTCAGGAAAAATATTTGAAAGAGCAAGCCAGGTTGTTCGTGATATTCCCCGGATCTCGGAACTTTAGTCCTGGCTCAAGCATCCATAGCCCCTAGAGACGGGTCCTGGTTATGCGGCCCAGGAAACGGCATTCGTCGATGGATTCTTTGCGCAATCTGATCGTACTCGGGCTCGTTCTCTTTAGTCAAGATACCCCGGCGGATAAAAAAGTCGAGAGCCACCAGCGCGCAATTTGGCTTCCATACGCCTTGTGCGAGTCCTTCGCGGACCTGCTCGACCGTGCACAGGCTGAACTCGGCGACTTCGCCGTCCTTTGGCTGCGGCACAACGTCTGCGGGTAGTTCGAGATCATAAATCCATTGAACCTCGGGATAAATCAGCCCTTCCTCGCCCGCCTCTGCCTCGGTGATGTAAATGTACGTGACGCCGCCAATAAACTTGGTCTGATGGCGAACAATCTCTTCCGGCAGGCTGGCTTCCTCGTCTGCCTCACGGATGACACACTCAAAGGGGTCTTCCCCCGTCATAAGTCCGCCGGCAACGGTATTGTCCAGCATGCCGGGGAAGGTTGACTTGGTCGGAGAGCGACGCGGAACCCAGATCTTGATACCGTGGCTCGCTGACGGGTCACGCACAAAGGCCGTCAAGTGAACGCCGTATCGCATGACACCGAACAATCCTGAGGCGGCCCTCTCAATGTCGAAAAGGAGTTCGCCATTGCGGCCGTACACAGGCCACAGCTCGTCGCGCCAACCCCGGAGGATGGGGAAGGTGTCGTTGGCTCTCCAGTACTCAGAGAGGTCCGCCGCCAGCTTGCTGCGGCTTTCTAACGTCGGCCCTTGGAAGGCTCTGAGAGTGCGCTTCTCCGAGTCGACTTGGACTTCCCCTTTGATGCTTTCGGGTACCTTGAGCAGCTCGTCGACCACCCTTGGCAGGACGTATCCGAGAGGTACATCGCCCTGCTCGTCGTTGAAAATGAGAGTGTACACTGAGCCAAACGTCTCAGCATTGGGGGTGTTGACTTGGGGCTGCCTGTACGGATATCTGCATCCTGGGTCAGCTGCGGGGGCTCGGCCTCGGGGTACAATATGCTCAGTGCCAGTGTTTCTCACGAGTCGACCTGGTCGATGAGATCAATGTTGGTGAAGGTCTTCATCTTGTCAGAGTATGTTCTCTTGGTCGTCTTGAGAAGCAACTGGGTGAAAATCCGGCCGGGGTTCAATGACGATCGTAGCATGTGTTGTTGTGTGCTCTGAAAGATGCGAGGAAGGCGTGGTCTAGAATAAGGTGCAGCCGGATCTCGAAACGACGTCGAGATGCATATAAGTCTGACCCCGATGCCGGAAGTGACGTGTGTCCAGCAATAAGAACCGGCATCAAAATCTTGGACCCCTCGAGTCGGACTTCGCAACGGCAAGTACAGACAGAGTAAGGGTATATCCGTCAACCGGGTAGCGGATCCGATACAAGCATATGATTGGCTAGTGTCATCGAGGCTTCTTCCATCGTCTCGAGGCTTCCTCCACGACCTAATGCAGCTGCCCCTCCCCCCACCTTGGAGTTCGACAATAATTGTACTTGACCCGGTGCTGCTCACCTCATCGCCAACCTCATTCTCTCGC